TAAGATCAATAATTCTCAATTTATTTTAAAAATTATTCAATAATGTTTGGATGAAAACTTACCAAGAAAACATTGAATTGTGAGAAGATATATATGCATAAGTCGTCTTCTTAATGGAATAGGTGAATTTTGAACTAAATAAATTATGGTAGGTAACAAATTCACAGAGAATCAAATTGATAGATGCAATAATAATTTTTCATAAAAATAAAAAATAAAAACAAGCGTAAACGTTACATAAATTCTTAAACTTCTCGATTTAAGGTAAAAGTTCTCATGAGAAGTCTTTTAAATGTCTAGATCAAAGAAATATTTATTAATTTAAATATTCTTCTTACCCTTTTTTTTTTTTTTTTTTTTTTTTTTTTTTTTTTAATTCTTGGCCTCAAGCTTATTACTTTTGTTGGAGTAGTGCTTGTTCATCCCTCACCCTCAACTTGTTTCTTTTAAGTGTGTCACTTGGTTATTATCTATTGTGGCATTTCATTAGGGTTAGTTTTACTAAAATTACTCTCTAGGCTCTAGCTTACTTCTCTTGTTGTCGTGTCGTGTCGTTTGGATAGGAACAATGACTCTCCACACAGATATGATATTGTCCACTTTAAGCATAATTTCTCATGATTTTACCTGTAATTTCTCTAAAAGATCTCACACCAATAGAGATAGTATATCTTACTTATATATCCATAATTTTTCTTCTTTAAAATGTTTATTGCATTTTAAATGTTGTTGAGTTATGATTTTAATGAAGCTTTCTCTTTTTAAAAATTTAAAAAAAAAAAAAAAANTTTTTTTTTTTTTTTTTTTTTTTTTTTTTTTTTTTTTTTTTTTTTTTTTTTTTTTTTTTTTTTTTTTTTTTTTTTTTTTTTTTTTTTTTTTTTTTTTTTTTTTTTTTTTTTTAGGTTCATCCATATGCCCGTCATATTTAAATAAATTAGAAACTCGGTTCTAAGTATGATATTTTTAATTTACTAACACTATATTAGAACTTACTCAAATTCTGACTAATTCCAAGGCATTAGATGTGGACGGAACAGTTGTTAAATTATTAAAAGGTGTCTACAGATATTTGCTATTTTTGTAGTGACAATAAAAGTACTATACAACTTTTGCCACCTCAAAAGACAAAAACAGTTAACTGTCTAGAAATATCTATTGCTGGGAATATTCTATAAAATATTCTCAGATCAATAATAATATACCCAATTTGCCTATATTCATTCGGAAAACCGCTGCCTCCAAAACCTAATATTTGTTTTATAGGAATTTTGCAACCATTATACAAATTTATTTATTTTTATTATTTTTCTAAAAAAAAATACATGTTTATTTGAGTAAGCCATCTAGATCAGATATAATTATTTTATAATTTTCCAAGAAGAGAGCAAAAGTAAAACTCCAACTAACAACAGAATATTGTTTGGCATCTTTTTAAAATGTTGTGCATGTGTAATATTTTGTCAAGCCATTCATTTGGAATAGGAAGTTCATCAAGAAATGAAAGATATTCAAATTAAAAAAAAAAAAAAAATCTTAAAATTCAAACAAAAACTTTACTTTTCCGTGATAATCAATTTTACTCTCTTCGGCTTGGGCTTGTGTTAGTTACTGTTAACCTATGGGTCACATCTAAAGAAAAGATGAGACATTACTTTATGAAAGTTAAGGTTATCTTCTTGAGAATATTGGTACGAAATAGTTGAGTGATGACAAAGCAAAGTATTCATGTTAGTCTATGAAGACAGTTTTCAAAACAATAAGTTGATAACGTGGTTATAGCACATGAGATGTAAATGAATATCAGGACCATAAAATATTTTTTTCTTTCATTTTTTGAGTTTAATAACATAAAATTAAAATATTTAAACTTTTATATGACTTTTGTATGGCTTGGTATTTAGATAATGTAATTTTGAGATATTTAGAGGTGGATTCACAAACATTCGGAATAAATCATAATTATTCGTTGTTAAAAGCACAAGCAAAAGTGAAGACTAAGATATCTCACTCATAAGTGGAGAGAGGAAGAATGGTGGTTGGGAGGGACATATACAGTTAAATAAAAATAAAAGATTGAAACTAATGACAGGTTTCAAGTCTATGGTTTGACCTCTTAATTGTGAGCATTTAGTAAAAGATGCCACCATTCATATAGAATATTCTCCTCTCGGTATTATTATTTTGGTCTTCATCTATTTTGATTTCTTATTCTTTGTTTTGTTTATTTTTTAAGCATGTAATTAGTTCTTATATACTTTCTAACACAAACTCTAAAATATTTCAATACAAAAGTATTCTATTAAAATTATAATAAAATTAGATAAAGAAAAAAAATGATCGATTATACGTCATTTGTATTATATTATATTATATTATGATTCTGGAATTATATATATGTATATATATAACTAAGCAACTACAAAATCCCTGACATCACTACTAACTCCTACGGTTCTTTATACAAATCATTAGAAAACCGAAATTTGAGTATTGTTTTGTCAATGAAAAAATAAATTGGATATTGAAGGTTGCAATTGCAATAAAGAAACCCATTTAATTGGAAAAAGGGAAAGGCATATTCGGTAAAGAATATTCTTTTTTTTTAATATGTATATAAAAATAATAACTACGTGCTGTGTTTTAATGATGGGTTAAATAAAAATCCATAAAAATAGAAATAGAAAGAATAGGTCCCTCAGGGTGAGGCATGAATCTGGTGATTTCGAAGAAACAGGTGATAGAAACATCCCACGTGGGGGCGGAGTGAATTTCCTGTTTTAGCCTTCATACATGACATGGCCGGTTCACATTTATTATTGAGGCGTGTGTGGTCATGTTGGGGATTGGAGGATGGGGGATGGTTTGTTGAAAGTTTTTGCAATTTATTGGATATTCCAAATTCCTTTCGGATCATTCTCCTCCGTTGCTTTTACATTATGGAACTTCCATTTTCTTTTTTGCTTTCTAACTAATTCCCAAATATATATTTTTAAAATCTACATATTCAGCTTCTCTATTTTAATTTAATTAAGTTTAATTCTAAATTTAAATAAATGAATACCAATAATATTCTACATTCATTCTTGTTATGCCCACTTTTTCAGTAATTTTTTTTTTAACTTATTTGTTTTTATTTCTTAACGGATACTTTCCTGAGTCCATTTTTTGTAATTTGATTTTGATTGCTTTGTTGGTTGATTTATTTATTTATTTATTTATTCATTTAAACTGCTGCCAATATTATTAGATGAGTATAAATATTCAACAATTTAGAACTAAATGTCTAAACAGTTTTATAAGTTTTGGTCAAGGAAAACATAGTTTCAATTATTTATGTTAGACCATTAATTAATAAATATAAACAATTAAATTTAATTTACGATTATATTCATTTTTTCAATAATAAAAATCTCATATTAAAAGAGAAAGATAACATATTTAATTATCGTGGTTCTTTTATATACAATTCACACAAACATTTTATACTACTATCATGTATTCTAATATATTTTTACTCTGAAAATAGTTTTCAACTGAAATGAGGTAAACATTCGTGATTTTTTTGTTTTGTTTTGTTTGTAAACTAATATTTTTCTTAAAAAGAAAGTCTGACTAGGATTGAGACCATATTTTGAAATTATATTATTTGTTAATTAAGTGGATTGAGGCATTTGGGTGTTGAGTTGAAGCCTTTCTTATTATTAGCTTGATTTTTGTGAGTTAGTTGGAGTATTTCCTTGACTAGATGTGAACATTTATTTGACATTAAAATTTGGGAGCTGTACCCCATGAATGCTGTTTGATTTGTTGGTTGGTTTATTCCCAATTTTAACTGTCATTTTATGTTCAAAATGAGTTAAAATTCCACACATACGACAAAATTATGTATACAACCGACAACAATAAAAAAAATTTAAACATGCTTTAAAATGGAGAAATTATTATTTATTAACTTAAATATTTTATAAATTTGTTTAGAAATGTGTGTGATGTTTTATCAGTATCAAAATTGTATTAATTATTTATTTAAAAATCCACAGAAATTTATGAAACTCTTAACTAATAAGCTGGTAATAAACGGATTCACAATTTTAATTACAGAATGAAATATATAATTTGTATGAAAAATGACAAATTGGGAATAATATTTATTAAAAAATACGACAAAATATTTTATTAAAGGCCGTACCTTCCCTAGGTGATATAAATGGAAACAATTCCATGGCTCAAAATATTTTTATACCCTTTTTCTTTTTTATTGGATTTATTCTCTGATTCATCCTTTTCAATTTATTCCCATTTCAAAAAATATGTCATAAAAATTACTTTAATTTATTTCCAATTTTCTATCCCATAAATTATAATTTTAAGTATAAAATTATTGATTAAATTTTGAATAAAATCATAGTCTTATTAAAATTTAGGATTTACGTGAGACACAAATTAAAATTTTAATTTTTTCGAAGAATAAAATTAAAAGTCGAAGGGTTAAAAAGTATAAATAGTTTAAAGTGGAGGAATTTAAGGAGTAAAATAGTGGAAAAGGTTTGAGTGGGACACGTGTAAGGTAATAGATGGTGGGGCGTTGTTGGAGTATCATAGGATGGTTCCCACGTGATCCAACTTGGGAGTGAGCCCATTGGTTTTGATACCTTCCAATCCACGCTCACCACTTTGTGCACGCGCCGCCCTTTACCCCCAAAATTTAAAACCTCTCACCACTCCCCAAATATTTATACAAAATATTTTAATAATTAAAACACTAATTATCGATTTTCTTACAAATATAACATTAATTTACTTATTAACTGGTAAATGTCACGGATATAAAATATAAAATGTATTTGATAATATATTTAGAGACGGGTACTTGTCAACCAAATATTAAATTAAATATAATCTACTATTAATTAATTTTTTATATATATAATTATAATTTTTATAAGATATTATTAAAAAAAAAAAAAAAGATAAAATAGAAGGGTATTGGTGACCTTTTGAGCTTCTTCTCTCATTCTCTGTCTCTTTCTTTTCACGAGGGGATAAACCCAGAAATATGCTCTTAAATTTGAATTTGGACAAATATTTAACGGATATTCCCGTACTGCCCCTCCGAATATTCTCCCCTTTCCGCTTATATTACCGTCTTCTTCCTCTTCCTCGATCTTCCTCTTCCATTTTCCTTCCACCATTCCCATTGCTTTACTCACTCACCCTCACCATTTTCTTCCTAACCACTTTCCATTTCCGGAGATATGAAATTCGGGAAGAGTCTCAGCAACCAGATCGAAGAGACCTTGCCGGAATGGCGGGATAAGTTCCTCTCTTACAAGGAGCTCAAGAAGAAGCTCAAACTTGTGCAGCCGAAGTCCGGCGACTCTAACAGACCTTTCAAGAAGCCTAGGCTTGATGCTGAGGACGATGCCGATGCCGATACCGATGCGGATGCTGTCTCCAATGAGGTCGTTGATTTCATCACTCTCTTGGAGAAGGAGCTCGAGAAATTCAATTCGTTCTTCGTTGAGAAGGAGGAGGAATATATCATCAGATTGAAGGTATGTAGGTCTTTTATTTTTTTTTTCCTTTTCTTTTTCGCTTTCCAATCAGATTATTGTTGAATAGTGAAGAAGTTTCGACTGAGCTACTTGATTTTGTGCATTCAACATTCTGGAAATCTGTTTACTGCATTATTTCGGTGACTAAACGGATGTGTGATGCGAGAAACTTTCGATTTCTGAAATTCCTTGAAGAACTATGGAATTGAACTTTACTTTTGATTAATTAACTTTGCACTAATTTTATTCAACTGTATAAGCAGTTTATTTCTCGACAAAATCTTCATGCATTTAATAAGTTAATTCGACTGATTTTCTATCGTTAAGTAATCCACCGAACCAATCGATGCTTGAGGACTAAAACAACGACGTCGCTTTTTGCTTCGCTAGGTGAAAAGACATCTTACCACATTCCTTTGAAAAGGGACGCTTAATAATTTTATTATTACCCCAAGGTATTCGCTGCGTTTATCAAACTCTAACTCACAAAACATAAAGTAAGAGGCACTCTTTTTTTTTTTTTTTTTTTCCTCTCTCAAATTTGCTCTCCTTTTTGACTCTTAGAATAGAGTTCTTTGGCCCACGTTGCAACTACTTTGCCACTCACATGATTATCTGGGGCTGTACATGACCATGCCGGCTGGCTGGTCTTTATTGTCTTGTGTATTTGCGGCAATATTTTATGCACACAATCGTCGGGTCGCATTGTTTTATTGGTCTAGATCTGGATTCTTATACATCATCCATGCTCCGAGTCACAGCTGGTAAACTGTGCAACTTCGGTAATAATACGACTCGAAAACTAGATTCCTTTGCTCACTTTGTTTGTTTGAGATTTGAGTAGGGCCAGAGAAAGGATATGGTTTAATATTATGCTGTGTGTATTGAATTTGACTTTTGGGAGTCGGAAAACATTGACGTTATTGCACTTTCTGCGTAATCAATGATGTAGGGCGATTGAGAATTTGACAGAACTTGTCTTGGTTTTTGGTGGGGAATTTGTCAGGAATTACAAGATAGAGTAGCTAAAGCGAAATACTTTGATGAAGAGTTGACACAAATTCGTAAAGAGATTGTTGACTTTCACGGCGAGATGGTTTTATTGGAGAATTACAGTGCTCTTAACTATACAGGTAACCGCACGGTCCCTTTAGCACTGGAATTATATACTTTTGCTTCATCTTATTATGTACTTTAATTTGGATCCTTACATTTTGTTCATGGTCCACTCTTTACTAATCTCTAGTGAGGCTTTGTCTGCCATAAGAGCAGCTTGGCAACTAGAATTTTAAGCTATTAAGTTCTCAACTTAAAAGCTTGAACTCTAGACCTTCAAGATTATCTGCAAACATTTCATGGCTTATCATCAGGATATCCTTGGGGGTATCGGTCTGTTTAACTTTTAACGGTCATTGTTGGAATGGCCTTTTGTTTCTAGATATTTGTATTGTGATACTTACTTTTCTATGTATGGTCCTAATGCTTTTCGTAAAGACAATTGCTTTTGGACTTAATTTCTTGGACCTTTTTCTGTGTGTCTATGGTTAGTCCTGAAGGCTAGCACATTATCTCTATGTCATCAAATGCACAAACTGCCTCCCCTTCTTTTTTTTTCCCCCAATTAGTCCCACCACTTCGAAATTTACATGCCTTCTTCTCATCTTCGACAGGCCTGGCCAAAATCCTCAAGAAATATGACAAAAGAACTGGTGCACTTATTCGCCTACCCTTTATACAGAAGGTACTGCAACAGCCTTTCTTTACCACAGACCTACTCTTTAAGCTTGTCAAAGAGTGTGAGGCTATGCTGGACCGCCTCTTCCCTGCAAACGAACAGCCTGCCTTGGCTGAGGCAGCTGTTGGTGATGAAGGCTGTGCTCCTAGAGCATCTGCCACCGCCACCTCGAACAGCGATGGGCTTCCTGGGATGCCCAAGGAACTCGCAGAGATCGAACAGATGGAGAGCGTGTACATGAAGGGCACGCTATCAGCCTTGCGAGTTCTAAAAGAAATTCGAAGTGGAAGCTCAACTGTTAGTGAATTTTCATTGCCACCATTACAGATAAATGGAGTAGACGGCACATGGAAAAAGGTTCCCGTGTTGGAACAGGAAGCCATAGCCAAGTAGAATTTGGCTTTCAGAATATAACATCACCTTATTCCATTAGTTTTACGACGGCATCTTGTAAGAACGAATTAGATACTCAAACATGTAAAATCCTAAATATAAACCCAAAAAGTGTTACAAGTAGAAAGCCAATGTTTTTCATGTTTGTTTGGCATTCAAATTACTACATATCTTAAAAAAACCATGATTGAGATTTCATTCTACTTTCCGCCATATTCTTGCACATTGTGTTTTCCCCTTGTGGACCAACCAGTGCACAAAGTGGGCCTTCTAATACGGCCTGAAGCTCATTTCTTTGGGCCTTCTGTCTTCTCTAAGCTTGACACTTTCAGTAAGGATTGCAGATCTGTATGTATAGTTTGGTAGGTGCACACTTGGGCTTCATAAGGGATGCCTTCGGCTTTGAACATATTGGCTCAAATAGAGTAGGCTTGGAACATCAGCCCTCTACAATACTTTGTGGGGTTTCGTTTTTCTATTGGCTCAAGTTTTGGATTTGATACTTATTTGGAGAGGTCTTAAATATGCCCTAACTGGCTTCAATCTCATAAGTTCGCCAAAATCAGTTAATTTCTTAATAACTATAATTAATTACTTACTAATTAAAAATCTGTAATGGAAAATAATTAACCATTTGTGATTTTTTTTTTTTTTTCTTTTTAATATTAGAAATAAAAAGAGTAATAAAGAAACATGGAAGAGTTATCCAGAGAGCGATGATGGACACGAATCCCAGCGATGAATACCCATTCCTGAAGGTTGCTGGCTGGCTGGCTCCCATGTCTCCCCGTCTTCTTCAAATTATTTGGTACCATTAGTTCTCTTTTTTTTTTTAATAAATTGTTGTACTCCTATCTTTTTCTTCAAGATTACGTGAACCCCTAATTCAATTCAATCCACCCTCGCAAATCTCTGTCTTCCCGTTTCTTTTCTTTTCTTCCTTCTCTCTTTCGAGGTTTCTTACACTCTTCAATCATCTCACCCACTTCTCGCTTTCTTCAACCATGCCTTCTCTTAACCCAGTTTCCCCCTCACAGTCTCTCTTCAATAAACTTCGTTTCAGAACGCCCACTTTTGTGGCACCCACTTCCTTTTCCAATTCCAATTCCAGTTTGGAGTCCAGTTTCTTACCCAGAAGGGTTCCCTCTGCCCTTCGCTTTAAGAAGAGTACTGCTGGAATTTCAACGGTTCGAATGAAGACTGTTCCTCTGGTTTCGGCTACCATGGCTGAGAAGTCGAAAAAGAGGTATCCTGGTGAATCAAAAGGGTTTGTTGAGGAGATGAGGTTTGTGGCGATGAAATTGCATACCAGGGATCAAGCTAAAGAGGGTGAGAAGGAAACTAAAGAGCCCCAAGAGGCACCTGTCGCTAAATGGGAGCCGACGGTTGAAGGGTATTTGAGGTTTCTTGTGGATAGCAAATTGGTTTATGATACGCTTGATAAAATCATTGCCAAGGCTGTATTTCCTTCCTGTAAGTTGTTGCTGATTTCCTGGTTTATTGGAGACGGTCTTTTTGGGTTTTTCCTGATGTCTTGGATTCACTCTGGCTTTGCATATGTTGTTCCAATTTTTGCTTCTGATGTTTATGCTTTTGTTCATTCAGTCTGTGGCTTTGCTGTTATTGTTCTCTGATGATGTGTGTGAATATTTTATATGAACATTTCTATTTAGTTATTGAGGGGAAATGCTTCTGATTCCGCTAACCAGCCGTTCCTTCCATGATTTTGTGAGTGTTGACAGATTGTTCTTTCCTAGATATGATTGATTTGAAGGTTGGTTTAAATTGTTTGGTGATCTCTGGCAAAATTGCATGCTTCTTTTTCTAGTCATACAAGTATCACAGGAAAGGTAATTGTAGGATGTTGATGAAGTGTTTTGTTTATGGTAATAGATGCAGAGTTTCGTGACACAGGACTGGAAAGGTCTGAAGCATTGGCAAAAGATTTGGAGTGGTTCAAAGAGCAAGGGTATGTCATTCCTGAGCCTTCTTCTCCTGGAGTCACCTATGCTCGTTATCTTGAAGAATTGTCGGAAAAGGATCCTCAAGCATTTATATGCCATTTCTATAATACGTACTTTGCCCACACTGCTGGTGGTCGGATGATTGGGAGAAAGGTAACAAATTCACCATATGTTCATTTTCATTCTTGGGTTGCATAATTGATTTAGTCAGCCACTATGAGCTGACTGGTGGGTACCACATGTTGTATCATTAAGTTGTTGATCAGATACTCATGAATTAGGGGGGAGGGGGAAGTTTAATCAATGTTTTTCACTTTTCTTTATGACTTGAGGTATGTACGAACTTGTATGAACTTGCCGATTTCTTAATTTGGCTCTTTCGCAAAATTTCTGTGAGATCCCACATCGTTTGAGGAGGAGAATGAAGCATTATTTATAAGTGTGTGGAAACCTGGCTCTAGTAGATGCGTTTTAAAAACTTTGAAGGGAAGCCTGAAAGGAAAAGCTCAAAGAGGACAATATCTATTAGTGGTGGGCTTAGGCTGTTACAAATGGTATGAGCCAGCCACTAGGCGATATGCCAGTGAGGAGGTTGAGTCCCAAAGGGTGGTGGACACAAGGCGGTGTGCCAATAAGGACGCTGGGCCCTGGAGGGGTGGATTAGGGGGTCCCACATTGAGTGGAGAAGGGAACAAGTGTCAGCGAGGATGCTGGGCCTCGAAGGGGGTGGATTGTGCGATTCCATGTTGGTTTGGGAAGAGAACGAAGCATTCTTTATGAAAGTGTAGAAACCTCTTCCTAGCAGACACATTTTAAAAAACCTTGAAGGGAAGCCTGAAAGGGAATGCTCAAAGAAAACAATCTCTCTGTATTCCCAATATTTGGTGGGTTGGGTATTGAAATACCTGGTGAACTGCCGAATGCCTCACGAAACATTTCTTAACCCAAGGAACTATCTGGAGGCTAATGAGAGTACATAGAAGCAAGTGTTTGTTGTTTTGTTTTGTTTTGTTTTCTTTGTTCCTGCTACTGGTTTTAAACCTTGTCCTGTCGTGATGTGCTTCAGGTAGCAGAAAGGATTCTGGAGAACAAGGAGCTGGAATTTTATAAATGGGATGGAGACCTTTCCCAGTTGTTGCAGAATGTAAGGGACAAGCTCAACAAAGTCGCTGAGGTAACTCAATCTGATTCGCCTTTTTCTTACATTCATCTCTTGTTTTCTCATTGAGTTTGTTTGATAACACGATGTTGGTTGCGTTGTATGTTTACCAGAGCTGGAGTAGGGAGGAGAAGGACCATTGCCTGGAGGAAACCGAGAAGTCTTTTAAGCACTCGGGAGAAATTCTCCGTTTAATATTGTCATGACGATGACGATGACGATGACGATGACGATGACGATGACGATGACGATGCCTTTCTTTTAGTAGTCGTGTTATTGTTTCTTTATACACCCTCTAATGGGATATGCCCTCCATCTCTGTTCAAGCTCGAATTCTTGAATGTCCCTTAAACTTTACACTTCTATTCAAGGATAAAAGTATCTGTTTGTAAACTCTGAAAGTTATGCCCTGAATGGTGAATGGCGTATTCAAGTGTATTTATTGGAATCGGTTTGTTTGGCTATCACGTTGCTAATGCTAATTGAATTCATTTTTTAGTGGTGAAATATATTAAATGAATAAATGATCACTTAATTAATTATAATATGAAAATTTATACAATGTAGGAACATTCATATGGTTATAGTTAATGTTTAATTAAAATCATTAACTATTTATTGTAAATACAATCATTACTCACCACTAATAAAAAAATTGTAAATAATCAGTGAGGGGACAAATAACATATTTAAATCATTTTTATTTATATACCAATCAATTGATATAATCATACAAATCAATAATCAATATTTCTAAAAATATAGCCAATATTAAATAACAATAATAACCCAATTAAAATATTTTAATTAAAATTTTTAAGAAGAAAATTTTATTCAGAGTCTTAACCAAACCGTTAATGGTTTTGATTTCGACTCCCCAAAAGGTCTCGTAACAATGGAAATAATATTCCTCATTTATAAACATCTTCCACTAAATTAACCAACGTGGGACTCACTCTCAATAATCCTCAAAACATTTTGTAAATTTCATTCGATGACACGTTAGTTTCAATTGCAATTAATTTGGAAAGCTTTGGTAGCACATAATAATTTTATGATCTCAAAGTTTAATCAATTTTGGAAAGCTTTGATAGCAAGTAACAAAGAGTTAGAAATTAAGTTGAAGTAACAAAGACTTTGGTTTTTTACTTTTCCAACCCTTCAGCCCAATAAATACCCAAAAGTTCACAATTTGTTAGTCTTAGTTTCCGATGTGGTTCATCGTCACTCAACTTTGCCGTTACCTTTAGCTGGCGAGGTTTGCTTTCTTTTCTCGATCGAAGTTGGGTTATGCAAAAAAACAAAAAAAAAAACATAGTCTTTTGTTCTGTTCCTCCATCAATTTATTGGGACTGCCAATTTTTGTCATTTTTCCTTGCGAATCATTCATCATCTTTGTTTTAGCTGATTCCTCCACGTTTCCTTTTATATTTCTTTTCAAGTTCTGAACTTTATCCACAAATCATTCAGGAAGCTGCAATGGAAGTGATGAACAGAGTTGTGGCCATAAGACATCATATTGATGAGTTCCCAGTTGAGTCCGACTTTGAGCTCAAATCTGAAGCTCTTATTGTGTCGGTGAAAGCTGGTTGTGATGATATCGTTGTCAAGAATCTTTATGTTTCGATCGATCCATATCAGATCAACCGTATGAAGAGCCATAGCTCTTCACAGAAGACTTCATCTTTTGCAACTTCCATCAAGCCCGCCCAGGTAATTATTGAACCATAAAGGGGTATCTATCGTTCATTTTAATCTACTTGGTCACCTACTCTGCTTTGTGGTTTGCTATGAACACAGCCCATCGACGCATATGGAGTGGGAGAAGTCTTGGCCTCTGGGAACGCTGATTTTAAGAAGGGCGACTTGGTGGCAGGGCTCTTGCATTGGGCAGAGTACAGTATAGTGAAAGCCCAGACGAGCTTGCTTCGACAAATTGACTCTATGGGGCTTCCATTAACTAACCATCTTGGAATTCTGGGTATCTTACACTAAACCCTCTAGTCTTGTCTTCCGTTACTT